GTCCCCGTCAGTGCTAGTGGTTACGATAAGAGCAGCCACCGCTAACACCTGGGGTGGCTCCATCTATCGGTGGGGAGCAACACCTGCTGGAAACCGGGTCCAGCGTTCCTTACATGGACAGAATTCGAACCATATCATAAAAAGGATATCGGAATATACCTGCCAGCATTGATTACCCCGGGGGGTCCAGGGGATTGACCAAGCAGGATGTTGGGGGGGGCGGGGGGAGGGGGGGGAACTCTTCACCCTGAACCTGGCGCCAGATACCTGCTGCTACACCCTAGTTCCTCCCGTCCCCTCCCTCTGCGACAATCAACCTCGTTGCCCCACCAGCTTCCCATTTATTCATTCAAGTGTACCAGTCCGCTCTATAGCTGTGCATTGCCCATTCAGTCCGTTTTCCATCCCATCTAACACCTGCAATCCAGCCCCCCTTCTCACTGCCCAGTGCGGAACTCCAGGCTACGGCACCCGAACGCAAACAGCAAGGCACACCATTCAGGTTCCACCATTGGATCCTCGGCTTCACCCTCGGGCCCGACTTGTCTTCATAAGGAGAGGGGGGTATTACATGCTGAGCCTGCACACGGGGCCCGTTTCGAGGGCTTGACAGCTGCTGGGATGCCCCAGGCCGCACACCATTCAGGCATGCTCCCTGGAGGCCCACTGCCAGCCTTTGGGCCACAGGGTTAGATTCGAGGCAGCATTTTTTTCTTTATTTATTTACTGTTCTATTTTTGTCTGTTTCACGTATCGTTTCAAACTTGCAGTCCGTCCGAACAGACTTACGGTCTGTTCAGACATTCGTGGCCAGGCCCTTTCAGACATTTTGGTTCAGCTTCGTCCGGAAGCGACCCCCTGCTGCATCAGGAGCCAGGGACTGGACTTCCGGTAGGGCCCCAGGCAGGCCGTTTCAGGCCAGGACCAGGAGCAGGCCTTCAGCGGCCCTTGCACCCATTCCCAGGGGTATAAAGCTGTGTCAGCCCAGCTCCTGGACACACAGTAGTAGCTCACTTCTTAGGCGACATGCTGCTGGAGCAGCGCCATACAGCGCTGCGTTAGAGGTAGTGGTGTAGGTAGTGAGAGAGGCGGTGGCCATACCTGCAGCGACGGAGTATTGACCTGGGCGACATAGCTGGACTTCTTGCCAGCGAGCTGCAGCACCGAGAGAGGCACACCAGCGCGCTAGTACATGGCAGCGGTTACCTGCAGTTAAGACGGCGAGAAGGACGAGCTCTTCTTTTTCCTCTTCTTGCCCTCCATGTCTTCTTCCTCCTCCGTCTTCCTCAGAGAGAAAGAGAGAGAGAGAGGGGTCACAGACAGAAGATATGACACCCGGGATCTGATTCAACATTTTTTGTGGCAGACATTGATTGGGCATTCAGCAGGGAGACTATTCTTGGACTTCACTATGGCGATCTTGGTCTTCTCCCTCATCTCAATCTTCGTCGTACCCTCCTCCCTCACCTCGTCTGTGATATCTCCCCATGTGCGTATCCAAGGAGAGATCTTTGCTTCTATGGATGTGTCTGGCAGGTCTGACAGGTCAAGTCATATCTTTGAGTCTTCCGCTGCGCTACATTGTGCTATTTTTGTATGTATCTGGATGTACATTGCTTGTTGATGCTTCACTGATGCTGCTTTGTCCATTCAGTCCTTTTCATCACTTTGCGGATCCTTTGGTTCCATATACATTGCTCGATCGAGCACGCATCTGTTTGAGCATAGGCCCTATGCAAGGATGACATGCATAAATCGAAAAACCGTCTAACCCCCCTATGCAAGGGATGACATGCATAAATCGAGAAAGGGTCTACCACCCCCCCAAAAAAAACAAGGTGGGTTTCACGTGATGGTCCCACGCTAGACTGGATGCCCTGTTTTGGGAAAAACGGGTGGGTGAAATGCAACATCGCATCATTATGCCCGGAGGAGTACCCCAATGAACTGTTGGAGGGTCATATCCAAAATCAGGACAAGGAACCCCCCTCTAAACCCTTCGGCCCCATAGAACCAACATGTAGAGCCCCCATTTGTGCGGGTGTCCCCCGCACAAATGGGGGGGTACTATGTGTCTATTCAACGGGCAACGTGAAAGTTTCAACTCCGTTGTACCCGTTGAATAGCCCCCGGTGTCCCGTTGAATTCCCGTTGAATGGTACAACGGGCCCTCCCCGTTGCATATTGTTCAACGGGGAGGGTGCCCCCGGGGTGTGTGTGTGTGTGTGTGTGTGTGTGTGTGTGTGTGTGATTGGGTGGGCGTTGGGGGGGCGACCCATCCCCCACCAATCAATCAATCAATCAATCAATCAAAAAAAAAAAGGAAAAAAAATCTATCTGTTTTGAGTCTGGTTTTGTTTTTGTTTTTTTTTAAATAATTTTAATGCTACAAAATAAACATAAAATATAGGGATGTAGAGAGCAAAAAAATCTACACCCCCATATATATCGTCAAATAGAACTGCCCGGTAAACCGTAGGCAGAGAGGGAGAAGAGGACAACAAACGAGGGGCTGTATATATATACATTTTCACCTATGTTTTCCCTGCAAAAAAAAAATCCGCGGTCCGAGTTGTACCACGTTCAACTCGGTTCAACGGGGAGTTGAAACGGGAGTTAATGGGAGTTGAACCGTTCAACTCAAAACCCCCGTTGAATCCGATTTCGGACACACAGGGGGGGGAAACATATCAGTTAGTTATCCCGGGTCTAAATGTAATCTCTCTCTCTCTCTCTCTCTCTCTCTCTCTGTGCTGAAGTGCACTCACTCTCTTAAGAGTCTTAATGCCGAAAAGCGTAGCACAGTCTATTCTACCCTCTCAGAACCGATGCCCGCCCAGCGCCCACTGCCAATAATCCACCATGTCAGCATCCTGTCGTTGCACGGAGTCTAGTTTTTGGGGAAAAAACAACAAAGATCAGAGAATAGCCACCTGCTCAACTACACTGATCCCGGTGCAAAATCAGTCCGACTGTATCGGGTCTAGAATGGACTTCAACCGTTCACCTTTGCAGTGGCATTTTCGGAGACACTGTCGATAGAAGCCAGAAAAAGAGCTGCTTCTCGGACAGCCAACGCAGCTTGCGCACGTGCGCTGTGGCGCACGTGCGGACACATGCGCACAAGTGTCCCTCCCTTTTAAAAAGAGTAAGTACACAAAGAGAATATTTTGGGGCCTCGTCCTACTTCTCATTGGTTTGATTCTCCTTTCCGTAAAGTACCCTGCAAGCAATTAGCAGGGTTTCCTTAACCTTAGGAAGGACGTGCGTTGGACTACTAGAAGACCACGAGTAGGCCAGCAATATATCCCGGATTCGGATTCAGATCTGTGTTCCAAGAGTTATGGGTTACGAATTTACCACAAACACTCCGGTAGTTGTCTCGTTTTTTTTTTTTTTCCCCTTTTCTTACGTGCAGTGGCCCTTAGGGCCTGGCTCCACTCATCAGCACTTGCAGAAAAGAAAAACGTATGGACTGTATGGATCCAGTTTCTAGGAGAAGATTCATTTGAGTTTTCCACATTTGGTGAGTGGTGGAGTGAAGCCCTGAAAATCACATGCCGAGTTAACTGCTGAAACACGGACCTGAAATCGAAGCTACACCATATGTAGCTGGCCTACTCCCTCATTACTACGAGTCCAGTGACGACCCTTCCAATGACCACCCTGTTCCTGCCGAAGGGACCCTTGCCAAAGTTTGGCAGGGACCTTTTGAAGTACCAGCAGGGGTTGTCTGAATAATGTGAAAGGGCTCTGTGCTCTCTCTCTCTCTCTCTCTCTCTCTCTCTCTCTCTCTCTCTCTCTCCAGCGTGTATACAGCATCACGTTTTTCTTTTTTTTTTGCGCGCGCGCGCGCCTGGGATTAGCGCACTGCACACCGCGCAACGCACTTCACCTACGCGCCGCAAGTATGGTCAAGACCTAACATTACACCTGACGTTGGCATTACATCTGATCGGAAGAATAGATTTATACCCCCCTTTCCCCCCCTTGACACCTAAAGCTCGAAAAGAGAAAGGGGCCCGAATTTGGGCTCCTCTCCGGGTGCATGGAAAACCCTCACTCCCCCCCAAAACAAGAAGAGGAAAAAAGGGCCAACGTTTGCCATCACGGGGTGCCCAGTGCAGGTCACCCCCGGGTGACTTGCACAGGATGCACTACCATACTGCAGGGCCGAGCAAGCCAAGTATCCTAAGCTTTTTACATGATGCTCTCATTTGCGTGCACCCTTTTCCTGCACAAAAAAAACTCATGCTTGCATTCACATGCACATCACCCACACACACACCCCTCTTAGTATAAGCGCCCCACAGTGCGAGGAAATGCGGCTCGGCGTATGGGCACTCACACACAGTCACTCGCACTAGCACTCTGCCCAGATACACATTTGTTGAGGCATCCCTGGCGCACCTGTGCCTTATGGAGCGCTAGCTATAAAGAATTTCGGGCCAGTGGCCTATTCAGCAGTCTCATGAAAAACATAAATCTATCGATTGCTGCCTATAAGAAGCTAGCGCCTAATCCAGGCTCCCACGAAGGCGCTGGGGGAACGATAGCTCTTCGAGCCTCTATGAAGTCACTCGAGGCCGAAGGCCGAAGGCCGTCAACCAGTACGTTTTTGGCTCGCAATTTCTTTTGTTACGCACGAGGCAGGTCCCACCTTTTCCTTCACGAATCCACGACATCCTGGCTTCAGAATGTTGAGCCTCAAGCACCCTCCCCCTATCCCATTCCAAATATCCTCACCAGAATCTTTCTTCATTATTATTATTGTTTTTTTTTTTTTTTTCTGAACACCACTGTGGTCTACTGGAGGGATCCTCATCACGACCTGTGCGCTCTGATATTCACCAAAACATAATATCACCCTCTGCCCTTAGAGGCCTATCACAAGTGGATTAACAGCCTCATAGACCTACCTACCTTATTTTGATTCGTTGTAACCACTACAAGTTTAAACCAACACGGGATATGCATTGACCAAGGGCCCAAAAAGAATGCTGAAGATTTAATATTTATTGACAGGAAGAAATGCTGAACAAATCCATTCCTACCATCGTCGACCGCAGAGAATGTAGGTCATTATAGCTGCACGGATTCGGTTAGTAATGATCCGATGTTTTCTTTGAGCAACAACATAAATGCGCCAAATGCATCCACCTGTTCCTCCATACAAGCAGCCACCGGACACGACATTGGCACATCAACTGCGATTGTTCACTAGTCAATACATGTCATTTCACCCTCAACTCCATTCGCAAACGCAGATAGTATAACAAAGTTCATCCACATGTCCTCCTACATCAGCACCCAACAGCACAGTAATTGCGCACAGACTGACCAACCATAATCAAGTGATGTGCCCTATTCCTCTCCTAGCTATAGGGTCTATTTCCATATGCTTTGAACCGGGAGCACGGCAGAACAACGAGCTAATGCACCCACGCCACCTCCTACACATGCAGCCCAACCAGCTCGACTGCCAGACCAACCGATGGCCAATTTGCTACTTGACAAATTGCATTCATCCCTGTGTTTTACACCATAACTCTGCCCGCCCCTGTTAGAAAACACCATCACGAACCCCCCCTGCTACTAGAGGTTGATAAGAATGAGGCGCCCCCCCCCCTGTTACAAAACACAAAGGGTCCAATGGACAAAATTGTTCCCCCCCCTCTGGCCCCCCCTCCAACCCCCCTCCCCCAAGTCTGGCTTTTAAGTTTTTGCTTGAGCAACAACATGTTGCCCTTGTGCTAACTGGCAGCACCTTTGTCCACACGAACTAGGTATGCTAGCCTGCACTCGTTAAGGAGACAGGCTGCAGAGAAAGACATGGCTTGTAGTTGAGTGTTAACCAGTCACACCCTACCCACCACCATGCTACCTCCAATCACATCCAGCCCTAGATCCCACCCCATGACACGGAGAAGTGGTGACAGCAATAGCGCATGATATAATAAACATCAACATCTGCAGAAGTTAACAGACCACAAAGCATTTGGCTAAGCACCCCATCGTTTGAATAACAGGGAGATGGGAGGAGGAACATCTTGCATGCACCTGGGAAATGCCCTGCTACCCAAGAAAAAAATGAAGACACCCCTCACCTACACTTGCCCTGATGACCCCAAAGCCCAGGACTACCCAAACAAGACTAGACTTGTGGGCTGTGTGGTTGGGTACAGGTCTCCAATTTAGTCAAACAACCACTTCAGATCTTCTGCTCTGGAGCTTCCCGTGCTATTACTATCATATGAACAACTACCAGTACTTTTAAACTAGGAAAAGAAGCAGAGCCGATTTTGCGCAACAAGCAGCGTGGACTCTACTCGGGCCCTTATTAGCCTCCATGGACCCCATTTCCCGCCTCTTTTCGCTTGCTTCAGTTTTCTCTCTCTTGCTTCCACTTTGCATCCCACCCCTCCCCTCTTCAGCCTCTGCCCCTCACGATAAACATCATGCACAGAAAGCACACAATGCCGACCAAACATTGATGCCGACTGGTAAGCTGAGTGACACAACATGCACAGAACATGACAAAGGACCTTCCAAACATGAAATAGCAAGGTGGCGGTATGGTCCGTCTTCTCCAACGGCAAGAAGCAAGAGTACAAGAGGCCGCTCACCTGTTCCAGGAGCATCGGTGGAAACCGATACCCTGAAGATGCTCTGCTCACAGCCCTACATCAAGAACCAACCAAGAAACCCCAACACTTTAATGCTCCTCTTATTAGCTGTGGTTGGGCAACCACTAACCGGCACCATGTTCTCTGGTGCAACAGCTCCTTAAAGCCTACCTATGTTTACAAAGATAACATCACACTGACAGCAGCTGACACAGAATACGTACGCATAACCATAAGGAAAAAAAATGCTGGAAAAAGAAAACCACTAGCGAGCCCGCCATTTCAAGACCCGAATGCAGATCTCTTCTGGAGATGAAACAGGTCCCAGGAGATTGAAGGTGGTGCTACACTGTGTACCGACAACCGGGATGAAAAACACACTAGTCTCTGAGTGATGAACACATGCGAGGACTCAGAGGAGCAAAAAAGCAGACACCAAAAGCGGCTATCAGTGGAAACTCTGGCCGAGGAACGGCCACTGGAGCAGACAAGCTAGCCTAGACTCTATGTGTGTGTATGTGTGTGTGTATGTGTGTGTGTCTGTGTGTGTGTGTGTGTGTGTGAGAGAGAGAGAGAGAGAGAGAGAGAGAGAGAGAGAGAGAGAGAGAGAGAGAGAGAGAGAGAGAGAGAGAGAGAGAGAGAGAGAGCCTACACCAATATAACATACGAAGCGGATGAAAGACAAGTGGCACTGAGACGTGACGAACTCTAATGGGTGTGCCACCGGACTAAAATACAACTGCTGTCTTTTCCACTTGCTTTCCAACAGAGTCGACCTTTTAAGCAAGGGGAACCGACGGCAAATCCTTCTGTTTCTAGTAAATACTTATGGCTGGATGATGTCAGACTCTTCATCTTGACACAACTTTTCACAGAACCTGGCTGAGGATGCAGAACCTGTCAAGGGTCATCAGAAAAGGCATTTTGTTTACTTACCAGTCAAGGATCACCCTCTTCATCTTGACATGACAGACACAAGGGTCATCAGTATACCGCAGCGATGAAGCCACCACAACCGTATCACAACTATGCTGTGATACCAAGCATAGGGGCAATACGTATGGCGAACATCTGGCTAAGAACACTCTGGACTTCTGCAGAGCCATGCTCAGCACCAATGAGCTGTGTCAACAACGGAAAGAACCGCAGGAGGTGCTGTTCAAATGACTGATCATGGAGCTCTGCAACTGTTCTGAGAGTAGCAACAACAAGCGGCGCCCTTGCCGTTAATTCTCTTCGGCGAGCTGAACCCAAAGGAACAGTCCAATGTGCAGGCCTCTGTTTGTCTCCCATCGATGCGGGAATGCCGATTGTCGCTGTATTCACATACATAAGCAGCACCTCCTCACATAGCTCCACCAAGCGAACCTCAAGCTCCCCTTCGTGCGCAACTGATGGCTTGTCTGCTGGAAGCCTCTGAAGAAGTGTCAAATATGCATGGAATGATTCGCTCTCCAGTCTGAGCAATGGCGGATCAGGTAATTGCGTCACCATTCTGAGTTGGTGTAAGCTTGTGCGAAGTGTTCTGTCCATATTCACTCCATGAGCATGAGCAGCGATCATGTGCAATGTGTCCAGAAGAAGTGTAGCATGTTCCATTGACAGGTTTTCCCAGTGGTTATTGTAAATTTCAGTCATGGCCTGCAGCGGTCATAGAAGCCAAACACAGCCATCAGTGTTAATCATGAAAAGGGAGAAAACGGTATCGATCAGTGGGGTGTGTGGGAGGGGGAGGGAATCCATCTCTGCCTGAGTACAACACGCCAGACATAACCTCCTCACGTATCTGAAGCAATACTTAGATGTCGCAAAATAAAAATTTTCTGTCGATGGAAGACAGGTCTGAAACAAATGAATCACAATTTCTCAAAATATAAATTTGGAGTGTGCAGCAAGGACAAAAGATTTGGAACTTTATGAGAGAGGAGTTCAGAAAACGTAAAGACACCTGGGTTAGGCTGACGTCCGGCCCAGACGGACCGGGCCACACGGATGGAGGGTGGTCCGTCCGGCAAAACCAGACGAGCCAAAAAGTTGAAAAAACATCCCAGTAATATTTTTTTTTTTCTGAAGATGGGGTTGGAGTGTGCTCGCTGGGAGGAGCCCGAATCCGCAGAGAAACTTGTGAAAGTCATGTGTGTGGGGGGAGGGGGGGGGGGGTGGAGGGGAGGTGGAGGGGGGGATTTGACAAGGGGGTAAAAGGGTGTGTTGTAGCAGCCTTTTCCTTTTTCTTCTGCCGTTTTGCCCCTCCTCCGTCCAGACCCGCCACTCCCCCCTGAGCCCCCTCCAATGAGCTGGCACCACCCACCATAGTGCCGTGGAAGTAGAGGATGCAAGAACCACCAGCGAGGGAAAAAAGAAAGTTCAAATATCAGAAGAAGAAGAAGAAGAACAATAAAAAAAAGAAGAAGAAGAAGAAGACTTAGAAGGAGAAGAAGTAGTAGTAGTAGTAGAAGAAGAAGAAGAAGAAGAAGAAGAAGAAGAAGAAGACTTCGGGAGGAGGAGGAGGCGGCGAGAAGAAGACGAAGGGAGGGGGAGGAGGAGAGAGAGGAGGAGGAGGAGGAGGAGGAGGGGGCCCTGCCGATTTTGAGTTGCGTTGACGGGGAAAAAAAAAAAAAAAAGA